GCTGCCGGCTATGTTTCTCGATTCCGCAGGACACGAGTGACAAACGACTAACTCACCTCTTGAATAACCGCTTCATGACGCCGGTGCTCCACCACGACGCTGACGATATAGTAGACTCGACGCCGTGTCTCACGACCGTGTAGAGCTCTCACGGATGAACTGTGTCGCACGCAATGTGTCTCACGACTAAATCTGACAACTGTGTATCGCGCGCAACTGTCGTATATATCTCACAACAATCGCGGCTCACACCTGTGTCGCATGTACGCGTGTCGTACACACAACTAAATCACGCGGCTGTGTCGCGCGGCACTACGTTGTCGCGCACGCACACGTACACCACGACACACTACGGCACGACACGGCAACTATTCTCAGCGTAGCCCCCACACACACACACACATACACACACACACACCCGCACCCACAGACACACACGTGTACGCGCGACCACCGCCGACCCACGTCCGTCACTCCTTCGGTCGGTGATTCGCTAGTACCAAGGCCGACGAGCGTGCGGCGTGCGTTCGTAAACGAGAGACTGTGCGCGCTTACTGGCAGCGTCTGTGTGAGGCGAGGACAGTGCACGCGCGCGTACGTACGGCGATGGTTACGGCCGAGATGCGGGAGCAGTAGAAGCGGCTAGGCTGAACCCAGAGCAGGCGAGCGTGACAGGCGGCGCTCGTAATAACTGACAGCACAACTCAGACATAATACGCCGTGACGACCGTTCAATAGTAATAAACTGCGATAGCGGTGTCGTGGCTGGAGTGTCTTGCGCCTGCTCTTGCGTTTCATTACTTGATTATGATGACTTAGCATGACGACTAAACCTAGCTTTTGACGATGTGTAGTTAGTAGGCAATTAGCGAGGAAAGAGAAAAGAGGAAAAAGTGAAAAACGTTTGCTAACAGGACAGTAGCGAAGTAACCAGAGTTCATAAACAGCTTGTTACCTCCGCCAAGGGGTTGGCAGGAGGTTATGTTTTCACCGGCGTGTGTTTGTTGGTTTGTGGGTTTGTGCGTTGGTTTGTTTGTGTACAGCCTAACTGAAAAAGTTATGGACGGATTGTCATAAATTTTTTAGGATAGGTCAGAAATGGGCTAACTTAGAATTGATTAGATTTTGGTGGTGATCCGGATCCAATTAATTAATTAATTAATTAAATTTTCAGGATAGGTCAGAAATGAGGTAACTTAGAATTGATTACATTTTGGTGGTGATCCGGATCCAATTAATAAAATTATTAATAAAATTTTCAGGATAGGTCAGAAATGGGGTAACTTAGAATTGATTACATTTTGGTGGTGATCCGGATCCAATCAATTATTTAATTAATTAATTAATTAATAAACATTTTCACAGTGAGAGAACTGAGCTGCCTTGGCGGAGGTCTGCGCTCTCCGAGTGCTCTAGTTGTATATAGTTTATACATCATAGTAGCAATACATTGTGATACTAGATCTGATGTGTGCACTGCTGTTGTAACGTATATATATGCAAACAAAGGTTGCAATAACAGCTAGTAACACATTCTAGAATAGGTGTAAAATATTGATACACTGTAATAATGAAATGTTGGACATTAATATGGCGGTGGTAATTGTAATATATTGTAAGGGTGTTGTAAGACCTACTGCGCTGTTACGGTGTTATAATAGAAATGAACTATGATGAGGGTGTAACATTGCTACACCGTAATGACGTTAGAATATTAATACACTGTAATGATAGTGTAATTTAGTGATTATACAGGAGGCTATAGGAGGCTTATATTAAATAATACATTGTGAACGCGGTGTATAATATAATGATACCCTGCGATGGCGGTGTAATGAAGTACAAATATATATATATATATATATATATATATATATATATACTATAGGATATATATATTATATACATATATATATGTATATATATACACACATATAAATATATTATAGTACCATAACATTTTAATAGTAATACAATAACGTGATACGGTGATAGTATCCCGAATCAAAACATCATGCACAGTCAGCGACGACGATTGGTGGCACAGCCAGGCATTGCAGGCATCGCAGGTAGAAACCTAATCGAAGTAAGAGATCGTGATTACTGCTTCCAGCCCCGCGCCGTCGGCCTCGATGAAGACATCAATCGAGATTGGCATGCTGACAAAACTATGAACTAGGTTACTCGCAGAGGAAGTGAGAAACCCAACGGAGAGGGGGGAGAGAGAAAGGGAAAGAGACACACACACGCACGCATGCACCCCCCCCACACACACACACACACACGCACGCACGCACGCACCCACAGAGAGAGAGAGAGAGAGACCGACAGACAGACAGAAACGAGACCATAATAAGATTGCATCACCGAACTTTGGAAATAAACATAAGTGGGGCAAAAATTTAATATGCGCGTATGACAGTATTTGAAAAAGAAATAGGGTGAGATAAAAAACCATACGGGGGTAAGAGAGAAAAGACTGCTGCATATTTTTTTTCTG